ATTGAATGAAGTGATGAGTAACCATTGATTTGACCATTAATTGTCTAGGCTCTAAACGTGTGATCAGTAACTTTGACAGATGAGTGAGATGTAGACAGCCCTTCCCATCTAACGTTCTAGATGAGCTTCACTTTGTCCACTTAGTGACCTCACCTTTCTCAGTTCCAGGCTTTCCATGCTACCAAGTCATCTCACGTGTTGTTGTTTAGTCACTCAGTTGTGTCTGACTCTTCTGTGACCCCATGGACTGTAACCGCCCAGGCTCCTCTGTCCCTGGGATCTCTCAGGCAAGAATACTGGAGTGGGTTGCCATTTCCTTCTCCAGGGGATCTTCCCAAACTGGAGATCCAACCAGCATCTCCTACATTGGAAGTGGCTTCTTTACCACTGACCCACTGCAGAAGCCCCCATCTCAAATGTGATATAGGCCATATTTGCAACGTTCAAAACAAAGTGTGACACACCTTTTAGGTGGTCATTATATGGAGAAGACCTGTCATAGAGCCATCTTGGAGTTGTTTCTTAGTATGTCACAAGTATAAATACAAGACAGTGGCTGCATTTTTTTTTTCTTTATGAGATCTCTACATTGCATCCCCTGTAAATACAGCTTTATGTACATAGTACAGATATTTTAGAAGTCAGAATAACATATATTTTTGAGTATATTTTTAGATCAAGAACTGCACAGGTATAGATAATTTATATTTAAGAGCCTAGTTATGCTAGGTTAAAATAGCAATTTTAGGAAGATAAATGATTACATTCTTCCTTGTCCTTGATAACTAACATGAAACATTTACAGTAAGTGTGATATAGCAAGTTTTAACTTTTATTCCAGTCTCTATTCTTTTCTTTATCACAAAATTCAAAGTAAAAACAAAACAAAATAGAACAAAAACCAAACAAATACACACATATGTATATACAAATATTCAATAAAATGAAAACAAATACTTAGATTCTCTCTTAATATTTCTAACCACTTCATTTAGGGTAATGCCTTATTGTGGACATTTCTGGCAATAGGAACTTGAGAGAAAGAGAAAATGAAAAGACCATCTTTCGTCTCCAGTCTTGTTCTGATTAAACACTGTTAGGAGCTTTACCTTAACCTATAAATTTTCTCCTCAGATATAGAAGGCTGTTGCAAAACTGTTTCCTTCTGTTCTCATTCCCTAATGACACCGTTTGTATTTCCTGGAGAGAACATTATTGAAATATTCTCCAGTAATAAGGGTTATTAATATCCTCACTCTCTTCTTCTCAGCTGGGTCTAAATGCATGAGCATCTCTGATGGGGAACTTTTCTTCTTGAATATAACCATATAAGTGTTCAAAATTTCTGATGTATAAGAACTGTTTTTTATTAATATCTACTTCAAATGTTATCTTCCTTGTCTTCAGGCCATTTCCTTGTCTACATGGAGATTTAGAATAATTTTCTTCTTCCATTACATTTTGTTCCTTGAAGGTAATTTTATAATCAGAGTGCATGTTCCTCTCTCTTTCTGAGGCTTCCTTGTTTCAGGCAAAATATATTAAGTCTCTCTAGTCTAATTCTCTGAATCTTGTGTTATGCCACTTGTCTCTTGTATATACTCAGCTTGGAGATAAGAAAGGAGTATTATATTAAGTTGGGAACCCAAGGATAAAAACCAAGGTAGTTACAGTTTTCCTCATCCTATCCTGTATCCCATTTCTAAAAGTCTTTTAATGTATGAATACAGATTTAGAAATTTAGAAACTTAGATGATACAATAAATACTTTAAAAAATAGACCATTAAAATTTTATGTATGTGACTTAAACCTTCCCATAGAAGTAACAAAATCACTACATTTGACTTATACTTGTTGTCATTATAAATGTTTATTTGCCCTATTACATGGTATTACAGAGCCTGTAAATCTCTTATAAGCCATGTGTTACCCAAGACAGATTTTCCATTTTAACATTTTTATTTTACTACTTGTATTTTATTTACTCTTCTTCATAGTCTACATCTGTTTTTATATCATCCCATTTTGATTTGAAATTTTCACATTTAATCTTCTTCAACCTCTTCTTGCAAATATATTTAATGTGGATTCATAAAAATTCAATTAGCATATTATTATTAAAGAGGAAGAATGAAGCAAAAAATCAGATTTTAATACATCAGTTCAGATTACAGACTTTGTAAAAGTACGTTCTCAGGCTGGAGGAATTCTTCAATGTTATTTAATTATTTACTCATTTTCAGTGATCCATAAGCTTGGTTTTCCTTGTTGTCTAACACATTTGATTTTTCCAAAAATTATGTGTGCCCAGAAAGACTTTTTTTGGTAAATACAGATAATATTTTTTTAATTGCATGGTAGAGTATTTAAAATAATTTTGAAAATGAAAACTAAGAATCACTCTACCTGATATCAAGTCCTACCATAAACCTACAATAATGACACTATGCCATCAGAATAGGAATAGAGACACAGATCAGTGGAACAAAATAGAGAACCTAGGAATTGAGCCAACAACTGATTTTTGGAAAAGGTACAAAAGCAATTCAATAGAGAAATTAAACATCCATGGGCAAGAAAAGAAAAAAAAAAGAAGACTCTCAACCTAAAACTCACCGCTTATGCCAAAATTAACTTAAAATGAGCATAGACCTAAATGTGAAATGTAAAGATATATAACTTTAGAAAAAATTTTAAAACAGGGGAATATCTTTGAGACCTAGAGCTAATACAGAGTTCTCAGTGCTGTGCTTAGTTCTCAGTCATGTCTGAGTCTTTGCGACCTCATGGACTGCAGCCTGCCAGGCTCTTCTGTCCATGGGATTCTCCAGGCAAGAATACTGGAGTGGATTGCCATTTCCATGATGGGCCTGAAATTCTGTAACTTCTGGGAAAGTCACACATTCTGAAATACATTAATGTGTTAAAAAAAAAAAAAAATCCCACCGGGCGGAGGAAGAGGGTTGTCATTCACACCCAGATCCAAAGGGAAGCCAGACCCTTCTCGCTGTCTGGCATCAGTTCAGCTAATCTGTGAACTGCCCTTCTGTACCCTGGAACCTGCCTGGTGGCGTCTGACCCTGCACCATTCAGCAGGGTGGAGAGCGCANAGCATATTAAAAAGCAGAGACATTACTTTGTCAACAAAGGTCCATCTAGTCAAGGCTAGGGTTTTTCCAGTAGTCATGTAAGGATGTGAGAGTTGGTCTATAAAGAAAGCTGAGTGCAGAAGAATTGATGCTTTTGAACTGTGGTGTTGGAGAAGACTCTTGAGAGTCCCTTGGACTGCAAGGAGATCCAACCAGTCCATCCTAAAGGAGATCAGTCCTGGGTGTTCATTGGAAGGACTGATATTAAAGCTGAAACTCCAACATTTTGGCCACCTGATACAAAGAGCTGACTCATTTGAAAAGACCCTGATGTTGGGAAAGATTGAAGGTGGGAGGAGAAGGGGACAACAGAGGATGAGATGGTTAGATGGCATCACCGACTCAGTGGACATGAGTTTGGGTAAACTCCGGGAGTTGGTGATGGACAGGAAGGCCTGGCATGCTGTGGTTCATGGGGTCGCAAAGAGTCAGACACAACTGAGCAACTGAACTGAAATGAAAAAGAAACATCAACAAATTAAAGGTCATCAATAGAAAGCTCAGAGAAGGCAATGGCACCCCACTTCAGTACTCTTGCCTGGAAAATCCCATGGATGGAGGAGCCTGGTGGGCTGCCGTCTATGGGGTCGCACAGAGTCAGACACGACTGAAGTGACTTAGCAGCAGCAATAGAAAGCTACAAAGTGGGAGGAAATATTTGCAAACTGTATAGCCAACAAAGGACTATTATCTAGAAGATATAAAGAATTCTCAAAGTTTCACAATCAAAAATCCAACAATTCAATGAGAAAACGAGATAAAGACAAAAAGAGCCATTTCACCTGAGCAGGTATACAGATAACAAATGAGCACATTAAAAAATATTCAATACCCAAGGTGGAGTGGGGAACATGTCTATACCTATGGCTGACTCATGTTGATGTATGGCAGAAACCAACACAACAATGTAAAGCAATTATCCTCCAATTAAAAATAAATTAAAAACAAGAATAAAATATTAAATTCCACTAGGAAAATGGAAATTACATCCCAATAAGCTAGCAGAATGACTGAAATTTAAAACAGAGACAACACTAGAGGCTGATAAGGATGCAGAGAAACTGGAGACTTACATATTGCTGATGGGAATGTAAAATGGTAGTGCCCTTCTGGAAAAGTTTGGCAATTTCTTTTAAAAACATGCAAATACCATATAACTCAGTGATTGCTCCTGGGAATTTATCTCAGAGAGTTGAAAACTTATGTTCACATACACAGCAGCCTTTTTTGTAACAGCCAAGACCAGGAACTACCCAGATGGTCTTTAACAGTTAAACAAACTGTGGAACTTGCATACCATGGAAATACTTACCACTCAAGAGTGAAAAGAAACGAACTATTGATACATTTGACAACCCTGATGAGTATCCAGGGAATTAGGCTGGGTGGAAAAAAACCAATTCCAAAAGGCTACCTACTTTACAATTCCATTTATATAACATTCTTGAAGTGGCAAAATTATAGAAAAGGAGAATGGATTACTGGTTGCCAGATGTTAAGGAAGAAGTTTGTGGGAGAAAAGCAAGTATGTTTATAAAGGGTAACATGAGGGATCTTTACAGTGTTAGGAATGTGCTGAATCTTGCCTATATCAGTGTCAAAATCCTGGTTGTAATGTTGTTACTTAAGTTTTGCAAAACGCTGTCTTTGGGGAGGAAATGGGGAACAGGCACACAGTAAGTCCCTATTATTTCTTACAACTACAGGTGAATCTACAGTTATCTCAAAATTGAAAGTTTAATTCTAAAAAGAAGTTGTGTTTGTCAGTAAATGGTAAAGATAAATTCAGTGAAATGAGAACGACACTTATATATATGTTTACTTTCCTTCCTCTGGTGTTTCCCTATAAGGTTTGCGAGGAGCGATAGCCTTTGCCTTAGCTATTCGGAACACAGAATCTCAGCCAAAGCAAATGATGTTTACCACCACGCTGCTCCTCGTGTTCTTCACAGTCTGGATATTCGGAGGAGGGACAACTCCCATGCTGACTTGGCTTCAGATCAGGTGGGTGACACTGCTTAACAAAGGAAATCATTACGAGGTATGATTGTGCTGTTCTGTTTCAGATGTTGCTGACTAGCCAAGATACAGTGGCATGTGTGTGCCTTAACTTTCCCTGGGGTCAAATCAACCTTCAGTGACAAGGTGAAACAATATGACTGATCACCAACAGAACTGACTTTTATCAAGAGTTCTAGAAATCTCAGGATGATGTCTGTTCAGTCTACAGTCCCTAGAAGTGACTCTTTATCTATGAGCTCTTCCATTCAATCAGATTTATTGAGTACAATGTGATATGCTATGGCGTTGACAAAAATGAGTAAGACACCAGTCTTGTCTTCAAGATACTTGTGATAAAATGCAATTTATACAGAAAAGGCTGTGATACAAAGGAAAAAATGAAGTTTTGTTTTTACTTCTTATAGCACTTAGGATAAAATTGAGGACACAGGAAATGCCTAAGTGTATTTGATTTTTCAGCCATATATTTAGCCAGAGGGATGCTATAAACACAGATTAGACAACTTCTCAAAGGAAAATGGGGTCAAGGCTTCAGTTAGGGGCCATTCAATAAGCAGTGCTTGGAAGACAATTTCTATGAACCCAAAAGATGCAGGTAGTAGACGATATGATGAAAAATGAATAGCTTGTGGCAATTGTGTAAAGGGACAAATCTATTGTAAAATGCTCTTGTCTTTATTTAAGTGTTTCTTTGACATGGGTTCTCATTTTCTCAGAATGTAACAGTGTTTTACATAAATTGCATTTTATTTCCCAAAGTCATACATCTTGATGATCCTGCAGTCCCTCCCCAGTCCCCACCTATTCTCTGTGAGGCAAATCCATACCCATCACATCTGACAGGAAAAGATCCACCTGACTGGGAAGGGACTTCCAAGAAGATTTTTTTCAGACAAGGACTGTTATTCCAGCACCAGTGTAGTGCCTGGCACATAGAAGAATTGAATAAATAATTGGTACATGAAAAAAAATTAGATGGATGTAATAATCACACACATATATTTCTTTTGTTAAGCCTTTACTGACAGATTTCTACCCACTTGACAAATAGAAGCAGGAGCAGGACTAATGAGTTTAGGATAAAAAAGCTTATGTCTAAACTGGGCCAAGTGGCTATGTGTCAAGCCAAATTCAAGGGGAAAAGGGCCTTTTAAAGTACTGTGAATATTACTAAACACTTAAAAGCGCTTTGACCAAAGGTTGAAATGGAGAGTGTTTTGAATGCTTGTTGAACTATTTTCTAAGCATGTAAATGTGACCTGCAATTTCTTTCACAGTGGTAGCTACTTGTAGGCTCCTCTGGATGAGCACAAACATTGCATTAAACACTATAGTGTTGGCTCCTCTGTAAAGTGATAGTAAGATAATAGTGTGTTCAGGTTTCTAGAAAATAAATTCAATAGGTGGATCCATGCATGGAAAAATTAGGACTTGGGAAGCAGAAATTAGAGGATACCAATCCCCACAAGAGAAATATATTGAATGCTCTATCAGGTAAATTAGAAGATTCAGAACATCAAGTGGTTCTGGCAACATTTTCTTTAAAGTAATTCAAATATAACTTATTTTCTACTATTGTGTTTCTTTACCCTGAAGTATTTGTCCCCAAAGCAATAGCATGTTTTACCCTAAAATACTTACCAAACTCTCCTATGTACACATGTGTGCTAAGTTGCTTCTGTTGTGTCCCACTCTTTGTGATGCTGTGGACTGTAGCCCACCAGGCTCCTCTGTCCATGAGATTCTCCAGGCAAGAATACTGGGGTGGGTTGCCATACCCTCCTCCAGGGGATCTTCTGGACCCAGAGATTGAACCGACATTTCTTACATCTCAGGCATTGACAGGCAGGTTCTTTACCTCTCTTTCGAAAGGCATCCATTGGCTTCAGATAGATGTCATAGCTTATGTAGTCTCTTGACAACTGGATCAGCAGGGAGAGGGTAATATAAAATGGGGCCTTAGGCAAGTTAGAAGGTTTATCCAGTTATAGTACAGTGCCTAATAGAGAAAGATAGTAACATCAACTGTAGCATCCACAGTAAGAATCCTGGAGGTCATCTTAGCCCAGTGTGTTATGGCCTGCTGAGAGGCACAGTATGGAGTTGCCAGGTCATAGAGATGCCTCAGTGAGAACTAGCTCCAAATGGCCCTCCAATTCAATGCCAGAATTATCCACCAGCCAGAAGAGAAGAAGAGTAAAAGTTAAAACCATAAGCTTTCAAACTCAAATGAACATCAGAACCACCTCAAGTGCTCATTAAACCCCACCCCAGATTGCTGGCCCCTGCCTCAGAATTTCTGATCCAGTAGGTCTGGTTCAGGACCTAAGAATTTGCATTTTAACCACACCCCAGGCAATGTTGATATGGCTGGTTCTGGGACTACATTTTGAGAACCACTGGTTTAGACTTATAACCCCACATGGAAATGGGGTTATCTTGAGGAGAAAAATTCATTGTGCATTGATCAAGAAGGAAACAGAATATACTAGAGTAAACATTAAAAAATAGGACCATAAGTTAGTGTGTGAGTGTGTGCTCAGGCACAAGCACAACACACATTTAGTTTGACCATGTAATAGTGGTACCATCATATGCTCTACTTCCATCATGGTTTATAATGCTATCAAAGAAATCCTCAATTTCATTATGGCTTTTAAATGATAGTTGTCCATCATTTTCACTGTATTTAGGGAGACTTTGCTTGTTTACAGAGAAACATCTCATTAACCATCTTTCATGTCAGATGCTTTCTATGAAATGCCAGAATGTTAGTAAACTGGGGCTTTAATAAAATGACACATAAAGTCGGAACCCAAGGGGCAGGTATGCAAACATGATATAGAATGAACTCAAACATCCTCACTTGCCTATGATTTATTTATACACTTTGCCTTCCCTCTTATATATTTTTTACATTCAACTTTTTTTTCTTTTTAATTATTAGGTTTGTACTTGAGGATTTTTTTTTTTTTTTGTCCCTATAAATTTGTCATTCAGCTACAAACTATCACAGTAAGATGCAGTTTTATGTAAGGTAAAAATTGATAACATTAATATGAATTTCACTTTGATAGAAATAACTTGAAATGGCAATGATTTAAGCTTAGAGAAACTCTATGTAAAAAGTGGTCTTTACATATGAAACAAATTCTCCATTGGCTAAGTCTTATCCTGGGACTTCCCTGGTGGCTCAGATGGTAAAGAATCTGCCTGCAATATAGGAGACCCGGGTTTGATTTCTGGGACAGGAAAATCCCCTGAAGAAGGNACTCTGTGCAACCCCATAGACATCAGCCTACCAGGCTCCCTCATCCCTGGGGTTCTCCAGGCAAGAACACTGGAGTGGGTTGCCATTTCCTTCTCCAATGCGGGAAAGTGAAGTCGCTCAGTCGTGTCCAACTCTTAGCGACCTCATGGACTGCAGCCTACCAGGTTCCTCTATCCATGGGATTTTCCAGGCAAGAGTACTGGAGTGGGTTGCCGTTGCCTTCTCCAACACCACAGTTCAAAGGCATCAGTTATTTGCTGCTCATCCTTCTTCATGGGCCAACTGTCACATCCATACATGAATACTGGAAAAACCATAGCTTTGACTATACAGACCTTTGTTGGCAAACTAATGTCTCTGCTTTTTTATATAATGTCTCGGTTTGTCATAGCTTTTCTTCCAAGGAGGAAGCATCTTTTAATTTCATGGCTGCAATGACTATCTGCAGTGATTTTAGAGCCCAAGAAAATAAAGTCTGTCACTGTTTCCATTGTTTCCCTATCTATTTGCCATGAGGTGATGGGACCATACCACAGTGCAAACCTTTCTTAGCTTCTCCCAGATAGGAATGCCAGACCCATTTCTTCAACACATCTCATCCACAGTACAGAAAGCCTAGCTTACCAGAGCAATTCAGAACTTGTATTCCAGACAGTATAAGAAAGTGCCCCCAGCAAGACGACTTTTACAACTTCCAGATTTTTGCTTCCAGTATTTCAAAGAATAATAGCTAGCTTTTATTGACAATTTATTCTGTGCCAGATATTAGAAGATAAAGTGCAAGGTACAAAACCTCCCTGCAACTCTGCCTCTAATCTATAAAATGGAGATGACGGTAGTAGCCCCTCCTATAGTGGGTGAGGCCTGATGAAGTGGCACAGGGTCACCCCACTGTCCGGCTGCAGAGTCAGACTCCAAGGCCAGGCAGCCTGAGTCCAGGGCCTGCACGCCCAACTAGTTCCTTCTTCTGCCACTGCAAATAAATGAGCTTATTCCTGATGCCAGCAATCTACCTTGATTAACAAATCCTCTGGGGAAAAAGAGATGTACTTTTATAACCAAGACAGTCCAGTTAAAAACAAACACAGGAAATCTTCATCCATCATGAGTGATTGGGTTGACTTGCTCACACAGCACAGAAATTCTTCAGTACAAATTTTCTCCTTGACCTAGAAAAGTTAAAGGTAAACAAGGCCAGCCCTGGTCTTGGGTAGACAAGCAGGGAAGTTTGTCTACCTCAGTTACAGAAATCTGAAATTAGAGGAATCAGGCTCATTTCCCAACCCCATTTGGGATCCCATTAGCCCTCCATCAACCTCTTTCACAGATCAGACAAAAAAATTGCACATCTTGCTCTGTGTCCATTGCAGAATGAAAAACTTTTAGGTAATGCAGTGTCTCCACTAGCATTATTTTAGTTAAGCCTTTAAATTTTATTTGGGGTTTATGTCCTCTCCTATTTTATGTCATCCTAGAATGATTTCTTCATCATATGTCCCCCTGACTACACGGTTTTCAATAACAGCCACCATGGGAATGCATACAGAGGTAAAGAGAGAACTGTCTTTAGTAATATTTTTTAATCTTAAACAATAATGAAGTTAAATATACCTGCTTACATACCAATTTCCCTTATTGCCGAGGTGAGGAAATGCCAATCTAATGTAATAGAAGAATACATATAATCAAGTTCCCTTCAGATCTAACTGGG